CACCCATGGCTAACATTTTCTTTTAGAAGTGATGAGAACTTCTCAGGGACATAACAATTCTGATTTTCTTGTTTTAGATTCTTGAAATCACTCTTTTGATCGCCAGTTACATAAACAACTTCCATCAGCAAAAGGCTGCATTTCACCACCTCTCTGCTCCAGCGCTGCTCTCAGCCCGGAACCAGGGGCCCCAAGCTAGGACGATGGGAAGCCAGCCCCTTCTCTCAAGCAGCAGACCAACCATAGGCCCCACCTTACTCTGAAAGTGGGAGGCTGGGGGGGAGGCGCCTGAACATTCACTCTCTGCCCTCTAAGCAGCGGCTGCATCCGCTCCAAATAAGTTTATTTACATCCTGGCAACATGGCACCCACATATTTGTATTCCAGATTTTAAAAATAATGGGGATTATTTGTTTTATTCATAAATAGTCAAATGAAAACTAGTAACACATAAAACACAAAATTTGCACACAAATTTCTCCTGGAAATTTGAAAATGTATTTTAAATGGATTAGAATTTGTAATTTTTTTTCTATCTCCCTTCTCCCTTGCTATCAGACACATCATACAATATGGTGGGGGTTTTTTTTTTTTCTTCTTCTTCTTCTTTTAAAAAATATTCTGGCAATCTTTAGAAAGGGAGATTCCAAACTCTCATTTGGCAAACCAGTTGAATATTTGGAAATAATGCCAAAAAAAACTAAGTACATGTAATTACATGTATTTTAATTAATGTGTTTGGAAAGAAGTGGAGTGCACAGTGTAAGAAACAGCTGCAGGATGGTGTTTATGTGTAAATTTTCAGAGCAAGTTCAGTAAATCTTCTGGCCCGATGAATCACTGTGTGAGAAAACAGGAGTTAGGTAGCCAGAATTTCCTGTGTGATGTTAGGAAGTATACACCGTCAGCTTTTCAGATCACCAGAGCGTAAAACTTAAAAGGAGACAGTGATTCCTGACATTCCTTGGTTGTCAACAGAGCCTGAGTTTACTGGACTATTGCCCGCATTCCATTGCATTGGGTGCTGGGCCATCTTGACCTTGCTTTGCTAGATAATAATATTTTTGGAAACAAAGACAGTTCTTCAATTTTTGCCTCATATGGTCCTTTTTCATTGTAGTTTGCAAATAAGTTCCCAAAAATGTATTTATAAGAAAAGAGAAAGTAATATTTCTGTCAAAGGAGGTGAAATTTCATTTGAAAGAGCCTAGAAATATATTCTTTTACTAGGTTACATAAATGGTCAGTACATTGTAGTATGTGTCAGGACATAGTAATGAGTATTCTTGATAAATATGAAACTGTGATAAGACATGAAAATTATAAGATGTTCAATTGTGATGGTAATCAGGATACTTAATTTATTTATGTGTAGAATATTTGTATTTATTTTTTTGACATATTTATCACTTTGTGTATGGTATTTTTATTAACCAATAAAAGAAAACGTTAGCTGCTTGAATTAATTTGTTGGCAGAACCTCCATGATTTCTTCATTGCTGCCTCCCTGTGGCAGTACACTATTCTCACACTAAGCCTTTTACAAATGTGCCATCCCATACTAGCATCCCTAAGAAAGGACAGAACCAAGATATGTGCTGCTTAAGTAAGATGTTGCTTTATTGGTAATGACAAAACAAGGACAGCAATAACAACAAACCATAGAAAGAGATTTCCATTTACTATTTCCCCTCACTTTTGAGCCACAACCACTTACTTTTAGAGAATAAACTGGTTACAAGTTTGGGATGACTCTCATGAGGCTTTTTGGCTGGGATACAATAGAGTTTTTAAGTTCCCAGAAAACCATTTAAAAATCATTAGTTTGGTGAGCCAGAGGCTTGGCAGAGCTGTTAAATATGTGTGAGAATTTTATCCCCAGGCAGTAGTTAGTTCACCATTTGGTAAGCAACCCTAAATCTTCTCATTTAAACAAGTGGTGAAGGCTTAGCGTAAACCTTAGTATCCTGGACTCAGTATTAATTTTTGATAGAGCAGAGAGAAAATATTTTGATGGAAAGAAGTCAATTTTCTGTAACTGATGATGTGAAATTTTCATTTTCTGGGAAATTACTTATATAGACATTTAAAAATTAAAAATATGTTATTATGATTGGCTACAAGAGAATAATGCTCCATGTTTAATTATAATATGCGTTCTCCTATCATTTTCTTACCTTTCAATCATAATAAATGACTTACAAAACCCATGTTGAGCATTATTTTTTGAATAAACTTAAAGAAGTAGCTAATGTTTTCATTGTCAAAACTGAGGTGTACTCATAATGAAAATGGTAGTTATTACCTCTTTCTCTTGTATTCATGCTTTGTCTTCAGTGTTTCTTTGTTTTATCCATATAAAAGGAAGCTATAATTTTAATATAATACATGTGCATGCATATTGACACGTATACAATATGTATAAATCATGGGCTTCTTCCATGATTTCATATTAACCCCTTAAGGGAGCTTATTGCATATAGATGAGTTGAATGGACTGTTTTCTCAAAATTTATTTTTAAGAGTTCTGGGTGTGTGTGTGTGTGTGTGTGTGTGTGTGTGTGTGTCCTTAAAGTCAGATACTGCCAGAGGTTGGAAATGAATTTAACTCTCCATTTACAAGAAAAGTTAGTCACAACTTACAGAATCTTTGTTCTAAAATTGTTGGTTGGTTGGTTGGTTGGAGTTTTTTTAATAGAAAAAGAAAAAAATGGCCGAAACCGGTTTGGCTCAATGGATAGAGCATCAGCTTGGGGACTGAAGGATCCCAGGTTCAATTCCAGTCAAGGGCATGTACCTTGGTTGCGGGCATATCCCCAGTAGGGGGTGTGCAAGAGGCAGCTGATCAATGACTCTCATTGATGTTTCTAATTCTGTATCTCTCTCCTTTCCTCTCTGTACAAAATCAATAAAATATATATTTTTTTAACAAATGGAACAAGACATTTAACCCATAATTTTACTAAAGTATAACCCTGAAGCACTAACCACCGTGGGTAACCATATTTCTCCAGAAAAAGGCTGTCCGTGTTCCTGGGATGCCAAGAACACATTTCTCCCAGTCTCCTGCCCTTGAGCTGTAGGGAACTCGGACTCCCTCAGTGCAGTGTCTGGGCTCATGTCTGTGGAGCCAAGGCTTCAGGATTGCAGGGACTGAAATAGGGGGGATGGGGAACAGAAGTAACAGAGGAGAAGTTTCTCTGCCACATGGCTCACATACAAATTGCATCTCCTCTCACGTTTCTCCCCTATTCCCTTTTCCCTAAAAGAAGAACGGGGTTTTACTGCTGCGTAATTTTAAACTCCAAATTAATGTAAAGTCCACACATGGATATTTAGAGTAAAGTGAGACTCATCCATATTTCAGGAGACCCAAACCTCGGGCTTTTCTTGGGCATTTAAGTGGGAAAGTGAGAAGGTCAGTCCTACAGTGAGGAGTTGCATGGGCCTCGGTAGAGGCTGGGTGAGGAGATGAGATAAACACCGACTTCATATTATAATTTTACCTAAGTCGAACAATCCCAATGATTCTGAAGGCATATTTATAATCTACATCAATCCAAAAATCTTCATTGTATGCTTGAAGTATTTTGGGGTCCAGTAATAGGCAAGAAACAATAAATCTTACTAAGGCAATAGCTTTATTGGAGCAAATAACTCCAAAACAAGACACAAATGTTCACAGTGTGGCTGAGTCACGATTTATATCTAAGTCTATCTCACTTTAAGGTCCATGTTCCTGAACATTACACCATAAAAACCAAGCCAGTGGCAGGTGTTGCAAGGAGAGTATCTCCTTCAAATATCCAGGACATTTTGAGCTGTAAAGCCTGCATCTATTCAGCATTCAAGGCAGATCAACTGCTGCCACTGTCATGAAGGTTCCACCAATGGCACTGGGCATAGTCACTTATTCTTATGTAATTTTGGGGACCTCACTGGCTTCCTTTGGGTTATTATATTTTACTATTGTATATCTTTCTCAAGGGTAAGGATCTTACATTATTCATCGCTTCATTTCTTACTCTGTGCAGCACACAGTTTTACATATAATAATAACTCAATATTGATTATTGATTTGAAGGTAAAGTAAATGAAATATTGTGGAATGCATTGACGTTATTAACTTATTAATAAATAATGTGTTGTTGCATAAAACCCGAAACTAAATAAGCAGAAAGTTGGGAAATACAAAAATCGTAATATTCTTTGCCGCTAGTAAATCACTAGAAAATAGCTCGGGAGATTTCTAGAGAGTGGAAGGGAAGGAGGAGAGAGAGATGTAAGGGAAGAAGGAGGGGGAGACTTAACGGGAAAAGAGAAAAGGGAAGGGAAGGGAAGGGAAGGGAAGGGAAGGGAAGGGAAGGGAAGGGAAGGGAAGGGAAGGGAAGGGAAGGGAAGGGAAGGGAAGGGAAGGGAAGGGAAGGGAAGGGAAGGGAAGGGAAGGGAAGGGAAGGGAAGGGAAGGGAAGGGAAGGGAAGGGAAGGGAAGGGAAGGGAAGGGAAGGGAAGGGAAGGGAAGGGAAGGGAAGGGAAGGGAAGGGAAGGGAAGGGAAGGGAAGGGAAGGGAAGGGAAGGGAAGGGAAGGGAAGGGAAGGGAAGGGAAGGGAAGGGAAGGGAAGGGAAGGGAAGGGAAGGGAAGGGAAGGGAAGGGAAGGGAAGGGAAGGGAAGGGAATAATCCTGGCATATATTCGTTACTCAATAGAATTTTTTTTTAAATGAAATAACACTTCCAGCCGAGAACTTTTAGATCAAAGGGTTTGGTACCTCGTGTCACTTCGTTCTTGCATATTCTGGGAGATGAGGCTGAGCTTGGAGACTGGAATAAGAACACTGAGAACTACATTTCCCATAAGCCCTTCTTCTGCACGCAACCCAGCCCGTGACGTCGCTCCCATGGCAACCGAAGAGCCTGCTCGCCGCGGCCCACCTCGGAGTTTGCGGTCTAATTTCTAAACCCGGCCCCCCGCGGAGCTCGGACCCGGGGCTGCAGCGCCACCATGCCCAGGTATCCCCGCGTCCCTGCTTGCGCCAGGCTTATGCCCCCCTCCGGAGCCTCCCCTCTTCCCACCCTAGCGCGGGAGGGATGGCGGGGAGAGGCCGCTGGGGTGTATTTTGGGAGGGAGCCACGCGGGACCAGCTAGTGGGGGAGAATTGCAGGTCCGTCCTGTTTGCAGCCCGTGCCTGGAGGGTCAGGGAACTGCGCTTGCGCGTGTGGATTCTGCCCAAAGTTCCCCAAGTGGAAAGGAAGAGATTTTGAAACATACAACTCCAACCAAGCACTGACCCCATGAAAGTTTCTTGCAGGCCAGGGAGTGCCCTGGGAGCAGGGGTTCCGGCGGTGAACGAGACCCCAAAGCCACTTCCTTGGGGGCCCCCTCCTGGTGCAGGGGTAAAAGCGAGGGGAGGGGAGAGGAGAGAAGAGATGGATGACTTGTTAAATACATTATAAATAAATAAATAAATAAATAAATAAATAAATAAATAAATAAATAAATAAATAAAATAAATATAAAATTGATTTTTTACAGAAAGGAAGGAAGGATAAAGAGTTAGAAACATCAATCAGCTGCCTCCTGCACACCCCCTACTGGGGATGTGCCTGCAACCAAGGTACATGCCCTGGACCAGAATCGAACCTGGGACCCTTCAGTCCCAAGGCTGATGCTCTATCCACTGAGCCAAACTGGTTAGGGCTACATGTTAGCTCTTCAATTCTCTTGTGCCAGCTTTAAGTGTCTGTTCTCAAGGCCACCCCTAAACCTCCTCTGAACAATTTATAAGGAGGTGCAGGAGACTGGACCACAGAGCAGCGTAAATCTGGTTTTCTCTCCTTGTGGGTTGGCAGTGCAGTCTCTGTGGAGGCTGTGAATCTTGTGTGAAAATTCGTCAGTTTCCCAATAAACGTGTCATTGGTTACGATTTTAAAGTCCTGGCTACAGATATAAATTTCCACCAGCAGCAAAACTGGTTGCAGCACCTCCTTCTCCCCTCTCTTTGGGAAGCTGGAAAGCAAATAATCACGCTCTGAGATAAGGGCATGTCCATAAAGAGCAGACAGGCCTGGGCTGAGTTCCAGGGGCTCACCTGGGGAATCAATGTGGGAATTTTAGCGCAGACATTTAGGGACACCTGTGTTTGCTCCTTAAATAACAATTATAATCTCGTAGTAATTATATATAGGCCAAGCCCTAAACTAAACGATACATCTTAATAATCGATCGTGACAATTTATAAGATTGGTATTCTTTTTTATTAGCATGTTAGAGAAGAAGAAACAGGTGAGCCTGGGGACAGCACAGAAAACCTGCAAATATTAGGTGCCCAATAAATATATGTTGAACTAATAAAGGAATGAAGGATCCAGAGAAGTCCGCTAATTTGCCTAAATTGGCATACGTAGAACGTAGCAGATTCAGGCTTTACAACATATCAGATTGTGCTCATTCTTTTTAGTTCAATACTCCATTTTCCACACTAAGCTTTAATTTAAAAAAAGTAATCGTATTTATGTAAAATTACATATGTGTGTAAAGATATACATGAAAGAATGATTTTCAAAATGTGATTTGGGGTGATTTTTTTCCTTTCTATTTTCTGTATTAAAAATAAGGGAATCCTGAGCTAAAAATATAATTTAAAAAAATAAGGATAGTTGAGGGAGCAGAGATTATTAGGAATACTGGCTTTACACCTTTCCCCATTTTCCTAGATGCTGTTTTTCAAGTTGTATATTTCCCAAAGTTGGATATTCATGTGTCTGAGAAGCTAACACATAACAGCTTTCGGCCTTGCCTGGAAGCCAAGCCCCAGAATAGGAAACGCTCCACGTCTGGTGCGAAAGGCTCTGCATAGCATGATCAGCTTTCTTTGAGGAACCAGTACAAAGAAAAGAACGAATCCTCGGCCGTTTTACCAGCTTATTGTCCTCCAGAAAATAATGTTGACTCGTTCTGTAAATTTAACTGAAATATAAGTTCTCTGAGCTTGAAATACATACCGGAAAGGAGTCTTCTTGCTTCTCTGAATTTTGTTTTTCTGCCTCTCATTTAGTGAAACGCTCTGGGAAATCGCAAAAGCTGAAGTGGGAAAACGGGAAAGTAACAGAAGTGAAAGCGACGGAGTTGAAATTGGAGAAAAATCTGTTTTCTTCCTTGGCAGCAAAAATGGGGTAACTTTTCCCAATTTTTCCCAAGTATTGTGATGATTGAACAATTAGCGGTAAAATTTATATTAATACTTTGATTTAAAATGTGGATACTTCAACTCTTGAACCATCCAACGAGTCTCTGGCCTGCTGGTTACATTGGAGCTGGTTATGCCCCGTATGAGGGTGTCCTGCTTATGGGTGAGTGGGTACTCACATCTGGCCCGAACACTTGCCATTGGTGTCCCATGACGTGGGCCACAGCAGCTTGGAGGAAGGGGCACTTGTTTCTAGTTAGATTGCCCAGGTGAGCCGTCTCTTCCCAATTTGCACAAAGGCACCCTAAATGCTAATCTGATGACCACTTGTACAACGGAAATGAGCATATAGATAACACAAACATGAACCATACAGGTACGGTATAGTTAACCTTCACTTAACTGGGGTCACAGAAGTTGAAGGAAACTTGGAGAAATAGGGAGACTTAACCCTGGGGACCATAGAGGTGTTTCTTGGGGTCAGTCAACTCCCTAGAAATGTATGCAAAATCGTGTGATTTTTCTGGGAAATTAGAATATCCCAGCATTCTAGCCCCCCCCCCCCCCAAAGAGGTTAAGGGCGACTGCAAACAGTGGTTTTTAGAGTTTGAACATCTCCAGCAGTGGGGGCGTTCTCTTCCACAGCTGTAGCCTATTTTGATTTTTGTTAACTCCTAGTCATTAGAAAACTTCACTTTGGTCCTAATTCTGACTCATAAATTATGGGACTAAATCGAATTCCTCCTCTATTTGCTAAATTTTCAAATGTTATAAAATGGCTTGTCAAGTTGTTAATGGCAACTACTCTGTCTCCCCGAGTATATGTTTCAGTTTTATCTTCATTTCATTCAGCCGAATCTTTTGTGTCATGGACTCTATGTCAGTAATGGATTCTCTATCTGTCATGATCTTGGTAACTCTTAGCTAGAATTATTCTCATGATGCAAAGAAATTTTTAGGTTTGTTTCGTTACAATAAACTAGAGCATGTCTGCCGGCTTCTCTTTTTCCAGATGCTGAGCTTTGGCTTTATTGTATAGGAAAATTTAAATGGTGATGAGGAAGAAATAAAGAAAAAAGAGAAAAATTTAGTAATCGTATAACCCTATTCACTAAGGTTAATCTTGAGAGTTGAGAGTCTTTCGTTCATGCTATTGGTTTTGTCCTTAATTTTAGAAGATTGGGCCCTTTTTTTACAATCTTTTGTATTTTTTAATTATATTAAAATAATTTATGCATGTGGTCCTAAAAAATACTTAGAATAATTATATCCTCTAGAAATAAAACAAAAGAAATACTCTAACCAAGTATCTGGATTGCTTACTTTGAACATAATTGCAACATGTCCTTTATTTGTATGTTATCTTTTTTCTTTATTTCCACCTCAACAATTAGAATTCAAACATTTTAGAAGACACTAATCATCAGCTTAACCAGTAATTAGCATTGATGAGTAAAGAGAAAATTTAAGAAAGTTGACAAGTTGACCACTAAAGTGAGGTATGATTTGCTAGTATTTGTCATCCAAGAGACTTTATAATTATAATAATAGCAGTGTAGTTACACTGCGATGGAAAGTTGACAGTTAACTTTTTCCACTTATCAAACTTGGGAACAATTCTGAAAGTTTCTAGTTTCAAGGTAATTTATCATTTAAGTAGTTAAAAAGCTATTTTTGGCCACAACTATGAACAATAGTAAAATTTTACATGTGGATGACATTAACACAGTATTGCGTTTTTAAATTTCTAGGGCAAGACTACTATTATTCTAAGATCTCTTGACAGGTAAGTGTTATGTTAACGTTTAGACTACATTTTTTGCTTATTCTGGTTGCATAAGGCAAGTTAGATACTAAAAGACATATGGAAGGAGAACAATTTTGAGGCCCAAACAAAATAATTCTTAGTAAATCCCTAGTATGGTCTTTAAGACCTTCTTTAAAAAATAAAACCTACAGTAACCAAAAAGAATTATACAACATTAATATTGGATTTCCCTATTCGTGGAGAAATTAACATGATTATGCAGCCTATGCTAGTACTTGCTTTTTGGCTATAATTACTGTGGTATTTCAATTGTTTTTATTTTATCTAGTCCATGATTATTTGAATGTTAGTCATAATTTTTAAATTACTTATGGATACAATTTTGAAGCAGAATGTTGGTCCTCAAAATGTACATTTTACCATTTGTTTTATGTACTTCTTAACCTTCTATACTGACATCAGATTAAGATTTAGGATTATAATTACTAGATACTGTGGGGAGTTGATAGGAAAACCTCCAGCCAATTTGGGGGGATATTTCTCTGTTCCCTTTATTAAAAGCAGCATTTTGTTTCATAATGGAAATTCTTATCTTACAGGAAATAGAACCAAATAAAATATATATATATACACACACACACACACACATACACATACATGTATGCAGGAATGATATATAAAATATTCAATAAGCATAAATATATAAATCACAATATAAAATTATTTTTATCCTCCAAATAAAAATTGTTTGATACTAATATTCCTCAGTATTAAAAAGGAACAAAATCCTACAACATGGATGAACCTTGAAGACATGTGCTAAATGAAATATGCTAGTCACACAAAAAAATATTATATGATTCTGCTCATATGAGGTATCTGGTCATTTATAGAAACAAAGAAGCTCACCAGAGGCTGGAGGGAGGAGAAGATGGGGAGTTGTTTAATGAGTTTGGAGTTTCAGTTTTGTAAGATGAAAAAGTTCAGAGGTGTGGTTACACAACAATGTGAATATACCATGTTTCCCCCAAAATAAGACATCCTCCAAAAATAAGACCTACTTACAGGTTTCCTTCTGAGTGAAATAGAAGGCATCCCTCTGAAAATAAGGCCACCCTAGGCTAAACATGAGAGATTTGGTCCACTGATTCTGAAAGAAACGGAGTCACAAGAAACTCACCAGGAAATTCAGGAATTGGATTGTTATGATGATGTTCCAGATGATGACATGATTGTCATTGAATAAATGAGTAAATTCTTGATACTGTAGGATTCACAGTTTGTCTGGTTTGTGTTGACAACTACCTTACTACCATACCGTATACAGGTAATAAATTTCCTTTATTTTCATTTAACAATAAACGTGTACCGTATTCTTCTTCATGGAAAAATAAGACATCCCCTGAAAATAAGACCTAGTGCATCTTTGGGAGCAAAAATTAATATAAAACATTGTCTTATTTTCGAGGAAACAGGGTACTTAACATTACTGACTGTGTACTTAAAAATGGTTAAGATTATCAATTTCTGTTATGTGTTTCTACTAGAATAAAGCAAACAAACAAACAAATAAATAAACTATAAAACTGCTTACCAAGCAAGTAAGCTGTAGTATAAATAATTCATAAGGTGATTAATATTTTTCAAATCATTTTTTGATGTTTAGGAGTCACTACTGTCATTTGTTTGTAGCTCTCAAAAGGTAAACTATGCCCGCATTTGAACTGGAATTTGAGGTAGAGAACTGTATTTAAGTCTCCACTGATGTCTTTATTAAGTTGATAGTCATTAGGTTCCTGCTCCCCATAGCAAGGCTGAGCATGACCCTGATGCCAGTGCTTTCCCCCTGCCTGGATGCAGAGAGCCTGTGCCCTGACAGCCATCAGCACTGCCAGCCCCACTGCCTCCTCTGCTGGCCCAGCGGTATTTCCAGGGCCACCAAGTCATGCAGGCACTGTTACTCACTCTGCAGCTGCCACTAAATCCATCAGGATGGTGTTTTGAAGGCTTATTGATATTGATTAAAATAATTTCTACCTCAATGCTGCTATACAAAGTGACTTCTCCACTAGTAGGTTAATGTTTTAAGAGGAAGCAAAAACTTACCGAGGAAGATGGTAGCATAAGGAAATAATGGTAATACTATCTTTATTGTACAGGGATGAGCCACCAAAACCAACTTTAGCCTTGGAATATACATATGGAAGAAAAGCTAAAGGCCATAACACAGTGAGTGTCTTTTTAAGTGATATTGCTATGCCCACAGATGGAGAAGTAATGATGCTGACTTGGTTTTACATTTTCCATCTGACCTATAATCAATAAATATATCAGGCTGTACTTCATGGCTATGTGCTTTTAAACTTCAAATGCAACTCAGCAGATATGAAGCTGACCCAAACTGAAAATATCCTAGCCTTCTCATTTGTTGTGTCTTATAATGCTAGCATAAGATTCCTTTGTAACTTTATTGTATGATTTGGGGGCATAATTTATTAATTGTATTAATGTGATTTTTCTTCTTCAAATGAGAATATGTGAGTTACCTTCTCTTGTCTCCCCCAAAAATCTTCTAAAAATATGTTTGACCTGTGGGATATTTAAGAAAATATACTGCTCAAAAAGCAAATTACCAGCAAATATATCCTGAAGTTGGTAAAACTATTTTAGACTGCAGGCGCTAATTGGTTATAATCCTATTTTCACTTGTTTTAATGTCGCTTCAAAGGAAGATTAGAAATTATTCAGGATAGAGAAAGATTTTATATCATTTCTGGAGTCCTCTCATGAAAAGAGGCCATTTCTTAAATAAAGTTAACTATATGGAAGAACAATCTAGAATAGATGGTCCCACTTCTATAGCACAGGCAAATTCTTATAGATTGACTTAGTCCAAACTTTAGACAGTGTGTAAAGAGTTAAAACTGCCTGATGCTTCTTCCTGAATTCAGCAATAAGAGTTGGTTATTAAAACTGAAATTAAAAAGAAAAGGAAAAATAAGATATTGAGATACAGGAGAACTTTAATTTTTTTACTCACATGAGCATTGACAAGAGTGCTTAACTTAGAAATGGAAACTCTGAGACAATTTACATAATCTTAACTTTTGAGGAGAGCTCTAAAAAGTCCTTTCATCAAATTGTAAATCAATTGACATTTCAAAATGACAAAATTACTTCCGCCACAAGCGTTAATAATTCAGATATCAACAGCAAAAACAATTTTAGTGATGATGAGATGGTGATTTGTCAAATATATATATTCATCTAAAACTTGCTTTAATGACCATCTGTCCCTTCCAAGTTCATGGTTAACAGATATATTAAAAACTCATGTGATTCTTTTTCACCTATTTTTTCCCTCTAAACATTATGCTATCAAGTTGAGCTTGTCCATATTCATTCTAGAAGATTCATGTTTTCTAAATATAATGTTCCCTGAGTGTTCTACCTAGAAGCCTTTGTCAGCTCCTCACAGGGTTGGTACCCTGAAGGCGACTCAGCATCAGGCCGGAAGCAGAGATGTCATTGGCTAGCAGTCTAGGGAGCTTGTCATGGTCTTGTTTGCAAGCTAATTGGCTGTCTAGCCCTTCCATCCACTCATATTTAAAATTCCTATAAAAAGGGAAGCAGCTGTTTATTACCACTGAGCCTGCCTGTCAGATACCCCAGGGGCATGAGGCACAGATCCTTGCTCAGGTAACCCTGGTCTGCATCCGGGACTGCCATCTGTCTGTCCCATTTCCCCATGCCCTACCTGTATTTCTAATTGATTTTGTGAGCTTTTCCATCCCTACACCAGGATGCTTTCCTATTCAATGATTTTATTGCTATCTAGAATCATAACTGTTTTCAAAAAGATAATACCAAATGTTTTCAGCTACTTATTTTTATATCACATTTGAGTGTCTGCTACATGTGCTATTTACAGAATTAGGGCACTGTTTATGTTTTCTATTAAGGAATTACTAGAATTAGGGCATTTACTATATGTATACATATATATTCTTAAAGCTTCATCTTTATTCTTTGGAATACATGTTTTGTTGCATTTTGAGGGATGGGATAGAGAAAGAGGAAAGTTTTGACTGCCAAGAAAGGGTGATGGTGGACTACAGTATTTTTTTTTTTAATATATTTTATTGATTTTGTACAGAGAGGAAAGGAGAGAGATAGAGAGCTAGAAACATCGATGAGAGAGAGTCATCGACCAGCTGCCTCTTGCACACCCCCTACTGGGGATTTGTCCACAACCAAGGTACATGCCCTTGACCGGAATCGAACTCGGGACCCTTCAGTCCCCAAACCGACTCTCTATCCATTGAGCCAAACCGGTCTCGGCTGGACTACAGTATTTTGTATCCATAATTATTACTGACTGGTGCTAATGAAGTATAAGCATTTAAATTTTTTTTAAATTTAATTTGAAGAAAAAAACACCTGTTTTTGTTTGTTTTTGTTTTCAGCCAAAAGATATTGCTCACTTTTGGGAACTGGGTGGAGGAACCTCTTTATTAGACTTAATCAGCATACCGATCACAAGTGACACCTTAAGGTAAGTGAGCCAGCTCCAGGGACCGTAGCTAGTAAGCACCCAGTCAGTCCTGGCCGTGGGAATGAGTAGACTTTCGTGAATCTGAATTTTGGGGGACAGTTTTACTAGTATGTTGCTGAAGGCTTATGCTCAACTTCCTTTCTATGTGCTTAAACTGTAATGCTTCAAAGAACTAAGGCTCTGCCTTTGCTGAAACGAGAGAGCTGGCATGCCACCTAGTAACATATTTTGCAAGCCTGCAAACAAACAAAAATATATCAAATAATGCTCGGGCAATGAATTCACTCTGCAAAAATAAATTTGAAAAGCTTAATTCTTTAAAGTACCCATCCAAGTGTGAGCTAGCTCTGCCCTGAGTTTTTTCCTTTCGCTAGTAATCACATAAGAGAATAATCACTATTAGCAATGCTAAGGTATTTCTTTCAGTGTTTCCAGTGTTTGTAAATATATTTTGTACAGAATTTAGATGTTTTTATGCACATTTAGATTTTGCTTTCTTATTTATAACCACCCTTTTTCCATGACTTCACTCTTCAGGAACATGGAATTTTACTGCTATCTAGTTTCCTGTTTGTTCCCCTTTAACAGAGAAAATGAAGCTGCCTGGGAGTTAGGGTAGCTAGGCAGGGAAGTGTAATAGAGAAGAGCTGGCGAGGGTGGGCAGAGCCAAAGGAACCTGAGCTGCCAGTTAGTGTGGCCTGAGGTGAAAGGAGTTGGGCCCTCTTGGGGTTGTGAGCAGGCTCCAGGTCTGACCCTCACTATTGCATTACCTTGTTACATTGCCTCACTCGCCATTTCTAGGCCTAACAGGGTTTGGGCCCAATGGGCTTTTGGAAATTCTGATTTCTGTAAGAAGCCAAAGCTTTCCACAGCTTCTTTAATACCTGACCTTGTGAGTTCTTGCTCTTCCTTTCCCAGGAACCCCACAGCAGCTGGGGCCTGCTTTAGGAGAGAGGAGGGGTCAAGGTTATGAAAACATGGAAGGGGAGCCATAGGCGTAGGTCCAAAGTAGGTTGCTGAGTGGTTAAAGAATTAATGGAAAACATTTGACTGGAATTAATTTGCCACATAATTTTTTTTTATTGGACATAACCCAGCAACTGGAGAAAATAAAATTTCCAGCTGCTATTAGAATTGTTTGTCTTTAAAATGACCATTCATAAAATAATTACAGATGCATTGAACGTTTCAACAGACTTTAGATAAATTGTAATAGAGCATCTCCTGTGGCCTCCCTATTTTAAGAGGTGGGTTGTTTTTGCTTTGTTTTAATACTTTTAGCTGTCATTTGCTATGAAGATAAAAGTAACACAAGTATTGCCAATGTATTGGAAACACAAATTTTAATCTTTGAAAAGATTGAACAATTCATTTCTCTTTTGCTTAAAACAAGGTCCACCAGTAAATCTGTTTTTTTCTCCTTTAACTATTGTGCTGCTGTTATTATTATTTTAGTTTCCCTTCTTTGGAACACAGAGTAAAATTGGACCCAATTGCTTGCAAATTATTTGAACCAAATTATTATTAGTTCAAACTCCAGTCCAACTGTTAGTTATAACACTTACATATCACTAAAAAAAGCACTCAAATAAGTAAGGTTATAACTTTGGTGCTGTTGTGTGTGTGTGTGTGTGTGTGTGTGTGTGTGTGTGTTTGTCTTAGAAAAGTGCTACGTGTTTTTCTTTCTTAAACTATCTTATTCTTAAATAATAACTTTCAGTAGAGTAGGGTTTCAAATGGTAATTATTTAGAGTCTTTTTTGAGAGATTTTTTTTATTTCTTTAGGACATTTTCTATTGTTCTTGTTTTGGATCTTTCAAAGCCTAATGACCTTTGGCTCACCATGGAAAATCTGTTGCAAGCCACAAAAAGCCATGTGGATAAAGTGATAATGAAACTGGGAAAGACAGATTCCACAGCAGCTTCTGAGATGAGACAGAAGATACGGAGTAACATGCAGAAGGACCATCCAGTGAGTTGCAGCTGGGGTTATTCTTGGAACCTAAACCCATACACAGTTAAAGCGAACATCACAACAGCTTCTTTAGATTTTTATGCGTGACTTAGGATTCATTTGATGTAGATGAACCTGCTCACTGGAAAATTATAGCAATTTTATAAAACCTCAGTAAGAACTTATCAAGGAAAAAGATTTCTTATGTCTTCTTAGACATCTTCTGTGACTGTTATGGCATATTACACCAATCTAAAGAATTCGTTTTAAAGTAGTAGTTTGACATTGATTTTATAAAACGAAGATTAAGAACCAAACTATACAAATGTCACCTGACAAGAAACTAAAGGAAGCTACAAATTTAATCGAGGGTTAGAGTTTAACCCTTTACTGTCACTCTGTATTTTACATTCCTTCAGTGTCACAATCAGTACATTTATCACCTGACAAGTAATTGTATTATAGAGTTGCAATGGTGAACAACGTAAGTTCTTTAAATACAATCTGAATATAATCTACAACGTTAAGAGTAGGATTTTATATTGGCCAGAATTTTTATGAATGTGTTTTACATAGGTAATATCAAAACAAAACTGATAGCTTATGGTTCCCATGTATGCAGTATAAATGCTACTGCAACAAATAGTTAATACAAAATAGCAAGAAACAAAAAGGAAGAAGACATGTTACATAAGAAAATAAAAAGGCAGAACACAAAAAGAATAAATCTTTTAGTAATTTAGGGAATTTCTGTTTGTAGTTTTATACTTGAGATATACAGTTTATTGAGTGAAGGATAATTATTGGAACAACCTTTTAATGTCAGGCAAGCACGGTCAACATCTATGAAGAGACTGAAAATGGTATCTTTTTGGAAGTAAATAGAAATTGCTGAATATACAATAATAATTAATTATAGTAAATCAATGAAATATGTTTGCTAACAGGATCGTGAATTAATTGATCCATTTCCAATACCTCTGGTCATAATTGGAAGTAAATATGATATTTTTCAGGTAAGCTCATCTACTTCTAGTTGAGTTTGTTATACATACATGTCTATGCTTTATGGGAGAGGAACCAAAGTAATAATGATTTGCATAGTCTATTCATAAGATTCCCTTTTTCATTTTATAAGAATGTTCATCTAATAGAAGATGTTATAGATATTTGTAACAGGTTTTTTTTTTTAATCAGGCCAGAAAAGAAAAATAAAATTGTGGGAGGTTGGGAATAAGTTAACATATAAAGTGGTTTTATATAAAACATCGATTGTCTTTATATTTTGATAAGCACCAGTATCAAGTTCATTGGTAACACTGTGATATTGGGGGGGAAAAATGGGATTCTGTGATAAAATGTTTTAAAACACTTTCTAAAAAAAGTAATAGTAAAATATGAAAGTATCTCTCAGAGGGAAAGGTCAAGGAGTCACAGATCTTACAGATTTTAGAAAAGAGAATATAGTTGGGAAAGCAAAAATAGGTAAAGAACAACAAATACAGTGGAATGGGGATAAGGTAGAAGATTTAGAAACTGAATCTTGAACTCAGTCACCAAGGGATAGGACTTACTTCCCAACTTTTAAATTGAAGAAAGGAGAAAATTGGTTTCTTTTTATCTTTGCTTGTCAGAGAATCCTTAGGGTATTCCACACTATGAAATGTGTGCTGATTTTTGAATTCTATAGAGCTGTGTTTAAACAAGGGAAGATCTGACAGCTGTAGCTCCAGAAGGCTGCCGCTATTGTTCAGCTCTCTATAGAAATAAGTACCAAGGTAATGGAATCCTACTCCTGAGGATGTGTTCAAAAAATTAGCAAAGAACTAAGAAATAATCTATATCTACATTGAATAATTTATATCTTCATGCTGCAGATATTTAGTTCTCTCAAGTCATTTTTCATTTTAATAACATATTTCTTTAGGATTTTGACTCTGAGAAGAGAAAGGTAATATGCAAGACACTTCGATTTGTTGCACATTATTATGGAGCATCATTAATGGTTCGTACATTTTCTATCCTTTGGGCTTGAATGGACAGTACCAAATTTGGAAAGATTAGCAACTTCATACACAGTCATGAAGACTAATGCTTTTACTAATGCACATCATCCCCTCCTTTCCTTTCCCATTGCCCCAAAACCTTCATTTTATAATGTATCCATAGAACATACTGCTAGATGGCCTGACATTTCTTTGGTGCAAAAGATCTTAATCACTTAAATGTATAAATCCCAATCTTAAAGAGACAAATTATCTATCTATCTATCTATCTATCTATCTATCTATCTATCTATCTATCTATCTATCTATCTAGTTATCTATCTATCTATCTAAATATCTATCTATCTATCTATCTATCTATCTATCTATCTATCTATCGCTTCCCCTTAAGAGCTAAAATATATATTCTCTTAAGAGAAAAGAACTAGACCATGTTGTCTCCAGGTTCCTCTTGCTTTGATTAAGAAGAAAAAAGAGATCGTACGAATGGGGCATGGGGAGGAGGGGGGGAAGTATCTTTTAAAATAAAAATTTATTTTATATTTTATTGCATTGAAGGATATCAAGTAATGATAATAATAATTATAATAATCAATATTTCTTGAGTAATACTTCGTTCCAGGCCTTGTGCTAAATATTTTACATTATTCCCTCTTCTAATCCTCCTAACCCTACAAAGAAGGTACTGTTTCTGTCCATTTTACCATGGAGGAGATTGAGATTTAAATTACTTGTCCAAAATCACACATCTAGTCAATGATTTCCCTAAATATCAAACCACCCAGCAGGACTCCCGAGTTCAACTTTTTAACCTTTGCAACAAACAGCATTTTTTTAAAGTTTAAAAAGAACACATTGGTTCAAGGTTGTTGTTCCTACTTTCGAACATCTTAGTCATTATTATTTTGGCTTAATGACTTTGGGTATTTTAAAAAATCAAATTTAGACTTAAAAAATTTGTAGGATAATCATATGTCCTGGTTTTTACCTGATATCTCAGCTTAATTATTAATATTTACTCACTCACTTTTATTCTCTAAAATGTTCTGGTTATGTCACCCTAGTTACCATACCCCGCCTGAGAATATTCAGTTGCTTATTTTGAAACTCCAAAGGCAATTCAAAAGAGAAGTTAAAATTTTGTTTTAGTGAATATCGGTATTATTAGACTGGTCTGTAGCTCCCATGTTAACTACTTGAAGGCAATAATATGTTCTTGGATGGAAATGTTATTTGTGATGTATATCTTCTGTTTTTTAATCAACCAGATTGCATTTTAGCAATAACTATGAACCATTCATGGGAGTAGCTAAAATTTTTAGTGCATAAATTCAGGTTCTTTCAATATTATGTAATCATAAAGTTTAAAGAGTCATTAAAATTAATTTATCTACATCTTTTTTTCCCCTTTATTCTGTTTTTCTTTTTTAAACATAAGTATTTGTTGGGCAAATAAATAGTAATTCACTGTGCAATCTGTACTTGTTCAAAGCCATATCTATGTTATCTGTTTCTGTGATTTGAAAGCAGAGTATAAAATTTATTCTCCTGAATTTTTTTAGTTTACAAGCAAATCAGAAGCTCTATTACTAAAAATACGTGGAGTTATCAACCAGTTAGCATTTGGTATTGGCAAAAGGTACTGTTAAATACTTTTTTTTATATCTTTTTATTATTAGAGGCCTGGTGCACAAATTTGTGCTTGGGTGGGGTCCCGGCTGTCTGGGGAGAGGAGCCATAGGTGGTTGGTGGGCTGGCCCCATCCCCAATGGGGGGGGGGGCAATTGGGCTGGGCCAGGGGTGGGGCCAGGGGCTTCGGGTGCTTGGCCAGCGGGTTGCCCCCAATCAAGGTGGGAGGAGCTGATCAGGGGCAGGGCTAGTGGAGGTAAGGGGCTATGGACAGTTGGCTGGCTTGTCCTGCCCCCTGGTTGAACTCCCAGTCAAGGGGACAATTTGCATATTAGCCTTTTATTATATAGAATTTTTGGCCAATGTTATTTCATCTGACTATTATTCTCACTAGTCTTTTGTTTCTTGACCTGGAAAGTGCCCCAGATATCTGTTCTTAGATAATTTTACATTACCTTTTGCTTCTTCTATTCTTTAAATATTTCTCAGTTTGACAATTAAAATGTTAGAGAATACTTAGACACTAGAATAAAATGATTTTATTATACTCCCTTCCCTGATTTCTTTTACTTCTTTTCCCTCATTTTAGTAGCCTTCCTTCTATGATCACTTTCTGAATTGATTATAAATGAATAAACAATATTTGTATATAATTTTCTTAACCATGCTACTTTTGTTGGTTTTGATTTAATGTAATTTGTGTCTGTCACTTTTTTTCTTCTGTAAAACCTTCATTAATGCTCTAATTTAATTTTTGAAATCACTTACACAAATATTAATCCACTCATTTGGGGCAGTGCTTTCACCAGTGGCTGGATATAAAACTTGCTTCTTGTACTTACAGTAGAGTGTGGCAGGATATTCGATTGCTAAACTAAATTAGATTCTTTTTTCTTCTTTTCCATGTAGCAAATCAATATGTGTGGATCAGAATAAACCACTGTTTATCACAGCAGGATTGGATTCTTTAAGTAATATAGGTTGGTGAACTTATTAAATTTGTTCAATCTTTTTTTTAATTGCTTATTGATTTTCTCCATGTTCACTTCTTCTCCAGCGTACCAGCATTTCTGGTTTCATTCTCATTGCTGTAATTTCTTATTATTTACTTGTGTACACAGTATTGCTGCAGTACATCACATTGACATATTAGTGATGGAAGGGATGTTTCACATGAGGGACTGACTTCTGATCTGTATTCCGCTAAAAAGTTACTATGCATTTCCTGTCCCTCACCTATTTCTAGGTAATTTTAAATTTTAATTCCGTGGATTTAGGAGAAAACCAAGAACATAGAGTGGTCAGGAAATTCAAAACTATATATTATGGGCAATGATGAAAATAGAGATTCAAGTGATAGAATAAAAAAAAAAGAATACAGTATTAATTAAGTACCCCTTAATTAAGTACAGGAATGTTCATAGCAGCTTTATTTGTAATAGCCAAAAACTGGAAACTACCCAGATGTCATTCAACAGTTGAGTGAATAAACAAACTGTGGTACATTTATACCATAGACTACTACTCAGCAGTAAAAAGGAACCAACTACTGATATACAGAATTTGAATGTATCCCCATGGAGTTTTACTGAATGTAAAGAGACAATCAGAAAAGGATATATATAATATGACTCTATTTATATAAAATTTTTAGAATGAGAGTTTTACAAATTAAGGTAAGATTAGTAAATAGCAGAGGTTAGCGACAAGATTGTGGGTGATTTATACTGTTTTTAGTGTCATTTATTGATAGAGTTTGAATGTTTTAGTCAATGCAGTTATTGGAGCAAATCTTCCAATTTTAGGGTCTCCTCCTGTTCCTGATAATGACATTGGAAAGTTTCATGCCCGTTCGCCAATGGAGTTGTGGAAAAAAGTATATGAAAAGCTCTTTCCACCAAAGGTATCTATTTCTAGTTCTTTTAAAGCAAGAATTTTTACTACTATTCAACAGTTATTGGGAAATGTTCCAATGGGTTTATTATGACAACTTCGTTTTCAACTCATGCTCAAAAATTCAACAGTCACATATAAAACTCTATCGTATATGAGACACTGGGAGGGTTGAAAGGCGGGTTATGACACAGTTCTTGCTCCTCTTGGAAGCAGAGCTCTCTGGCCCTTAGACAAGGGAGACTCAATCATCTGAAAGGAGAAGAAGGAAAAAGGTCCTGGTGGAATTTGAATGGCCCTCAGTGGTGGTGATAAAAGATCATAGAGAAGCCACATGGCTGGCTGAGGAAAGGACGTGGATGTGAGTCAGATGGTTTGGGGTTATGGGCATGAAATGATTTGAAGCATTGTAATTTCAGAGTACCGACACACTAAAAGATATCAAGGACCCTGCAAAGGACCCTCAGTATGCTGAAAGTGAAGTTGATGAAATGAGAATTCAGAAGGATCAGGTATTACCCTAAACTTTCATTTCATTTTGAATTACCACAAAAATACCTGTAGACTTCTATATATTTTTCTCTATTTACTTAATGTTTTTTTAAATTTGTATTTAAATAATACATCTCCACTATAGAAAAATTAAAAGTCTGATATGAATCAAGAAGGAATTAAAAATCACTTATTACTCTACCACTTAGAGATAACAATGTTTACATATCCTTTTTGGATTTTCCAGTGTTTGATGGCTATTGAATCTTACTTGGCTGCTGGGAAATACTCTTATATTCTTGTGTTTGTGGGATTATTTAAAAGAGCTTTTTTTTTTTCTCTTTTAATTAGGACATTCAGACATACCTTTCTTGTACCAGAAAAATTACTGCCTAATCTGAAAGCACACAAACATAACTAACAAAATCCAGGATCTCTCAGGAAAGTGCTTAAAAGTGGGGACTGCATTCCATATATGCCAAGATAGTACTGTTTATGATACACAAATCTGTTGTAAGGATGCAAAACTTGATAAATTTTGGCCCAATACTTATATTTCCCAGGATCACCTTTTAGTTTGATAAAGTGAGACAGTATGTGGAATCTGATCTTGTATAATAAGTAAGCTTATGTATAGAAACACTTTAAATTGAATGTCATGACAACCTCTCAGGCAGGATTTGTAAAGCTGTGTAACTTAGGATAGCCTAAATACTACCATCCACTGGGTATTTTTCTCAGCATCAAGCAATACATTGAACTTATATATATAGTCCAGAAGACTTTTAAAGGTATGTTATGAATATTTAGAGGGATTGTAGCTGTTGTAAAATAAGAGGCATGTTATAATCCCTATCAAAATTCCAACGGCGTATTCCACAGAAATAGATCAAACAATACTAAAATTTGTATGGAACTACAAAGACCCCGAATAGCCAAAGCAATCTTGAAAAAGAACACAGCTGGAGGCACTATGCTTCCTGGTTTTAACTATATTAAAAAGACTTAATAATTAAAACAGTGTGGTATTGGCATAAAGACTGGCCCCTAGATCGATGGGACAAATAAACCCATGTATATATGGTCAATTATTTTATGACAGAGGAGCCAAGAATATACAATGGGAGAAAGGACAGTCTCTTTAATAAATAATGTTGGGAAGATTGGATAGCCACATGCAAAGGAATGAAACTGGATCACTATCTTACACCATACAGAAAAATCAACTTAAAATAGACTAAAGACTTGACTATAAGACCCGAAACTGTAAAACTTGTAGAAACAACATAGACAGTAAGCTCCTTGACATTGTTACACTAATTCAAAAAGATATATGTACCCCCGTGTCATTGCAGCATTATACAATAGCCAAGACATGGAAACAACTTAAGTATCATTGACAGATGAATGGATAAAGACACACACACAGCACACACATAGACAGAGGAATATTATTCAGCCATGAAAAAAGGAAATATTGCCATTTGTGACAACATGGATGTATCTTGAGGGTATATGTCAGACAGAGAAAGACAAGTATCATATGATCTGCCTTTTATGTGGGATCTAAACAATAGCAACAAAATCCGAGCTTGTAGATGACAGAGAACAGACTGGTGGTTGCCAGAGGAGGAGTAGGTGATAGACCAAAGGGGTGAAGGGAGTAAAAAAAAGTACAAACTTCCAGTTATAAAATAAATCATAGCAATATACAGCTTAGCGAGTATAGTTAATAATATTGTGTTGCATATTGAAAAGTTGCTGAGAGTTGATCTTAAAAGTTCTCATCACATGCCGAAACCAGTTTGGCTCAGTGGTAGAGCGTCGGTCTGCGGACTGAAAGGTCCCAGGTTTGATTCCAGTCAAGGGCATGTACATTGGTTGCGGGCACATCCCCAGTAGGGGATGTGCAGGAGGCAGCTGGTCGATGTTTCTCTCTCATCGACATTTCTGACTCTCTATCTCTTCCTTTCTGTAAAAAATCAATAAAATATATTTTTTTAAAAAGTTCTTATCACAAGAAAAAATTCTGTAACTGTTTATTGATAAATGTTGACTTATAATGGTGATCACCTCACAATATATACAAATATTAAATCATCATGTTGTACACACGAAATTTATATAATGTTGTATGTCAATTATACCTCAGTTACAAAAAGTGAGGTGCATAAGAAAAGTAAAATGACCTCAAGTAACTCTTATTATGTGTATATCTTGGCTATAGAGATTAGTTGGAAGTCATCCCTAAATTAATATTTACCTAGAAGTCAATGACTAACTGTCATTGTTGATAAGAGTATTTGTTTATATTGCATAATGACCTTTTATTACATTTATATACATAATATTGTTAAAGGTCTGGGGTATTTCTGAGTATCATGAGTTTTCACAGTCAAATCTATCTTCCCTAACTGATCTAAAACCATAAGAATTTTGAGTGGAACTGGAAAGCAGTCCTATGTCATTCTTCACTCAACTCTTCTACCACACTGCTACCTCACTAAATTCTGTATTCTTCCTAAACATGTATCTGTGTGTGTGTGTGTGTGTGTGTGTGTGTGTGTGTGTGTGTGTGTAAACTATAGGCCTACTGATTATAAGCAAGTCGATTTTTAAAAACAGGGACTAGCCCTGGCCAGTCCCATGCACCAAAAAGTTGTTGGTTCCATTCCCAGTCAGGGCACATGTCTTGTTTGTACCTTCGTTACCCAGTGAGGGGCATGCCGGATGTTTCTCTCTTTCTTTCTCCCTTTCTCTCTCTCTAAAAATCAATTTTAAAATGCTTTTTAAAAAGAATTGCAGTGTAAAGAAAACCCTCTTACTTGCTATTCCTTTATATCAGTATCACATTATTTTGAATTCACATGATAGCAGTACTGAAAGACCCAGTGGACATGGTGAGTTCGGTGTCATACTAGTGAGTTATTCTTTATCCTCCCTCTGGCATGGTCTGTGTGAACAGCCCATTCTTCTAAGTTTGCTGACAGCAGAAGGGACATACCATTACCAAGAATCCCAAAGCGATGCCCAATAATCATTGTGGCTTATTTTATGAGTTAACAATCTTTGAACTATAAGTTCAAACTAGTGAGCTGAATTAACTTCATTAGAAAAAATAAAGCATGCTGTAAAGACTACTTTGGAGTTATTAGTATAAAACTTCTTCCAAAGTCTTATACAGTTTTGAAAGTTTGAATGTTTAAATTTTAATGACTTAGACTATAGGGATGAATGAGACAGTCTGCAATTTTTCTGATAATGAGAATAGGATTTTCTGTTTATAGCAACTATGAACTTTAATTATGTTAGTCAAAGGGCAGTGATTGCCTTATCTTGCAGGTAACCACTTTTTGCTTATCTGAAATAATATTTTACTTGGTACAATTAGACATTGAGCAGCAGGCAAGAGGCTTGGAGAAGGCATTTCCAGAGATGGTCCCTTTTGCATGTTGATGGTCTCACACAGGATTTCCACTCCCACTAAATTTATTTTTATTTTGTGAATTGTAATAGTTACAAAATAATCTCAAGATGTTAAGTACAACAAATGGAATTTAGTCAATAATCCTATATAATAAAAGCCTAATATGCTAAGTGTCCAGTCATCTGTTCATCAAAGCATAATATGTTAATGATATGCTAAGGCTGCTCAACTGCTCATTATGACGTACACTGACCATCAAGGGGCAGACACTTTGGTAGGTTAGCTTGCTACTGGGGTCCAGCCGATCAGGACTGAGTAAACAGGCCAGACACACCCTGGAGCTCTCCCATGATCCCTCCCTAGTTGGCCAACTGCTGCATCCCTCCCCAGCCTCCATCATGCACTGGTGGAGTCCCTCACCCTGGCCTACGCTTTCTCATCGCCATCTGGGACCCCTCAGGAGATGTCAGAGAGCCGTTTTCGGCCCAATCCTGCAGGCCAGGCCAAGGGACCACCAATGGTGCACAAATTCATGCACCAGGCCTCTAGTATTGTAATAACTATGTATAGTGCCAGGTGGGTACTGGAAACATTGGGGGAATCACTTCACAAAGGATATAATTAACCACTGTGCTGTACACCTGAAACTAAAACAAAATAATATTGAATGTAAATTGTAATTGAAAAACACGATTTTAAAAAGAGTAACATATACTCATTATGAAAAAAATTCCAAAGATATACAAGTATATGTAATGGAAAATGGAAATGTTCTACTCTCTATCTACTTGCTGTTTTCACATGTGACTGCCATCCTTTTTGCTGGCTGGCTGTAAAGCCACGTGTGAGTGAGTGCTGGTGTGTTTAATCAATCTTTACTGGGAGATCATCTAAACCAGCGGTCACCAACCTTTCGGACCTCACGGCCCACCAGTGTCTGCAGACCACCAGTTGGTGACCGCTGCTCCAAAGGTTACCTCTAAACTGCTCCCAATTGTGTGTCAATATACACAGTGCAGTGAATATCTTTCTGCTTATATCCTTGTGCCCTTCTATACTACCCTATAGATAAATTTCTTAAGGCAGGATTGTGGGTTAAAAGATCTATACATTTTAATATTGATACTTAGGTAACTTCAAGTTTTTGACAAGAGTTGAATAACAAACAATTAACCATAAGGTCACTTTTTAATACTTAATATATGACAAATACTTTATTAATTGAATGAACTTATATACTATATAGAATATAATTTTATCTGACACTTTATTAAATTCATTTCTGAGTGCTGCTTATGCTACGCAGAAACTCCAAAGACTACATTCTAGAAAAATAACTACTAAGTATAATCATTTACAAAATAATTGTCAAAAATTTTTGAGAATGACAAAGCTGTAAAGGATACATTGTTATATCTAAAACTGCTAAGGGAGTTTTAAGATGCCTAGTTTAATTGTTCAAGTTTATTTTTAAAGTACTATAATGTATATTTTTGTTTTAGGAACTGGAACAGTACAAAAAGAGTTCTTCCAAGTCTTGGAAACAAATTGAGCTGGATTCTTAAACCTAATTCAGCTACAGTGTATTTATTTCCCAAATAAAAGTAAGATTATTTTATTGATATTGGCTCATTAATGAATTCGTTCTTGTTATTAATAAATCCTATGTAATAAAAATGTAATATGCTAAGTGTACAACTGCTTGACCAGTTACTATGAAGCACACTGACCACTAGGGGGCAGACACTCCGACCATTGGGTTAGCTTGCTGCTGGGGTCCTGCCGATGGTGACTGGGCAAGAGGACTGGACATGCCCTGGAGGCCTCCTGAGGTCCCTCCCTGGGCTGCCAGCTCCCAATGGCCCTGATCGGGACTTGGCAAGATGGCCCCGATCACTGGTCAGGCCAAGGGACCCCACCCATGCATGAATTCATGCACTGGGCCTCTAGTAATATTAATAGCTCATTAATAAATTAGTTGTTGTGGTAATAAATGAAAGTTAAGACATGTAATACTTTAAACAATAAAAAAAGGAAAGTTAAGATGTATAATTTGCTAAAGGAAAAGTGGATTTCTTGTATTATATTAATGCCACCCCAGGATATCTGTAAGTCTTTGAAAAGGAGGGAAAATTATATAACTCTGTATAGTATTTTTTTTAATAGAGAGTCTTCTGTTACCTACCTCTACCTTGGTTAAGTAAATATGTCCTTGATTCAGCATTTATAAGTTTGTGCTTATGTGTTTTCAGGAATATGAAAGCAAAAGCATGTAGTGACAGTTATGAATAAGGTTAAGTGCTCATATTAGACACACTCCTTCTCTAAGGAGTTCTCAGCTGTGGCTGGTAGGAAACTGGAATTGGGTTCACTTTCACAAACATCTGATGTCACTCTAATGGTGAGGCACAAAAAGCACCCATGGTTTTTATTTAAAATGCACATTCCTGAGCCCCCACACCCAGAAATCCAGGGTGAGTCTGGAATGGGGTTCAGGAAACTGCATATTTAATCAGCACCTCCTGTGATTCTGACATACGTTAAGTATAACTTTTGGAAGAACAGGCAGTTTTAAGATGTTGTCAATAAACAGACCAACACTTGATGACTTGGTAATAACCAAGATTATTTTAAAGGTAAAATAGCGTTTAAGAAGCATCCATCTTACAGGTTCACGTACCTGCTATCCAAGTTCAATTCAGAGTAAGTATAATTGCTGTTATTAATCAGGAAAGGTCTCTCACTCTGTGTTCTTCCATTTCCACTGTAAAATATGTTGACTCTACCATGCAATGCACCCAGCTTCAAATAAGCACACCTACTAACCACAAGAACTCCAAGACTGAAGAGTGGCATCTGAGTGAACAGCAAGCTGCCTGATTATTGTTATGAAGTCAGATGTCCTAAACTAGTTGCAGTACTCGTGGTTCCAACATATGGGGAACGGGGTTTGCAGGCTCCAAGGAACCTCAGCTGAAAGAGCTGACAGGCGCTGTGCCTGGGTGTTGTGGAGAAAGGACTCCAATTAAATTAACAGTGAACGTTGTGCTTTCAGGAACATCATCTGCTGGTGGGAAGAAATGGCTCATTCCACGATGGTAATAGGAATTTTTATTATATAATTTGATTTTCTTACACGTCACTGTCCATTTTTGACTTAAGACACAAACTGTCACATAGTGAAAGTCGTCGTGTTTCTCAGAGATGGTATCGCTAGCATTTAATAGCTTGAAGTCACGTGCTGTGTCAATTTTCCAAGTGTTCCTGATCTAGGATGAAATTCATCTGCATATGAATAGTGGAAAATGTTTCCACTGACATTGTGCACCCATATCTTTAGTAAGTTGAAATCAGTGATTTCTAAAGAGGTTCCTGAGGAAGTCTCTTTGAACTACTTTAATAGATTATCATCTCCAGAATTGTCTATAATTGATGTGACATATATAATCTGTGAGGCATTATGTAACTATTACACCATAATCATCAGTGTCAAAGACCTTTTATAAAAATTGACAATACTATTCTGGTAATTCACCAATGTCTCCAGATCCTTAAATACTGTACTAAGAAATAGAATTTTACTGTGGTTTCCGTAATGAAATGATCTTTCCTACTATAATGTGAGACATTTCAAATGCTATAATTTATCATTCTTTACAAGTTAGGTCATAGAAAATGAACAAGTTCTTGTACTCTCTAAAATATTCTCACTCAGAGTTACCATGGTAACATTGAGACAGTTTTATTTCAGATTTATACACGAATTTCTTGAAAATCGATCAGAAAGATAATCAGTCATTTCATATATACCATTTATATACAATCTATGTACAATATTTGAGCCCTCACAATATGCAATATAGGTGTTTGTATTCATCAGCATTCTTTCTCTTTAGAGTTCAAGGACATGAACTTCCAGCACATAATCCTGTTCTTCTGAGAGTAAGCGCTGTCAGTTGAGATCTTGTCTACATGGACTTTCAATAATAGCTGCTCCCCAACCTTAACGATGTCATTTCTCAGTGCAAACACTGTAGTAATATTTCATTTTAATTTTATAAGTAAACTAAGCAGAAGTGAAAAATAGCCAGCTAATCTTTAAAAATATTACAAGAGGTGTGCCTGATGTGCTGTGTTCTCAGTTCAGCCATTCCTGCAGTTCCTCATTTTTACCCTCCGTAAAATCAGAGTGCTCTGTACCTGTGGTCTTTGTCATCCAGCATCTGTCCACCATCCTCTCAAAGTCATCAGGTCACTCAGAACCCTCATGTGGACATGTGCACATCATTATGAGTTTTTAAGTGATAATGAAAGCATTCTTACCCAATTCTGCATGATGCTTTGTTTTAACCACCCCATTTTCTGCTACTTAGTAACTATTCAGGATTCTTTTTACTGAACCCTTTAGCAAATGCAAGCATAATTTTTTAACCAACCTATTTTTTTTTCCTCTAAAGCAAAGGAATAGTACAGTCTCCATAACTTTATGAAGTATTATTATTTACATTTTGGACTGGTTTAGTCACAATTTCTAAATACCACATGTCCCTTCAACTTGGAATAGCATTCATGGATCCAAGGGCACAAAAGGAGTCTTAATGGCTTAAAAGACTTCAGATGTGCTGTCAAGACTAGAAACACGAGGCATTCTTAGTTCAGATATTCCACACAGCGAGGCACCTCTAGGAGCTTCAGTTCCCTTCTCACAGCAATGTGCTTTCCTATCTGCTGATGAGATGATCCCGAGCTTTAAAAACAACTATTCCCAAGAGGACAAGAGCGGGGATGAATGCGTACAGAATCAGGAAGTCTGCTGTGAATCTGGATGTTGCACCCGGGCTGATTCTCTCAATGAACTGGAGTCCTTGATTGAAGGCACACATTGGATTAGCTGTCACAGAACCATTTGAGCTGCCTGCCAGGGAAAGGATCGACACTGTGAGACATGGGCATGTGGTAAATACTTGGTGATTCAGAAGTAATTTTGTAAGCAAGTATTTACCAAATTCCCACTGAGTGCTTAGCACCCTGCTAAGTAGCTTCTTCAGGAGAGATACAGACATTGGACACAGCCCTAAAATCATTATTAGATGAAGCAATAATGAGTGTTCTGTGCCTTGGCTCCATTTGAAGTTGGAAATTGGTTTCATTTCCATCACTCTGATAAAAATCATAATCACTTAGGACTACTTAGCACTGAATACCCAAAGATTACTGCTGTTATCACATAAAGATATTTAAAACAACTATTACATTCTGTCCTCCAGTTGCCTTCAGAGAATGGCCTGGGTTTCCAATGGCCAGGAGGACCTTGTTAGGCTCCCACTGCTCTGATCCCTGGCTTTACTTGGCTCTCTACTATGGACATTTAAGGAATAAGAAGCCACTGCACACAGCTTCAACCAGCTCAGTAGAAATTGATTCCATCAGAATATGCTAGCGTTTACTTCAGTGCATCAGGTCTATCATTATCATCTATCAATGTGTGTGTGTTGTGGGGGGGGGAGGTGCAGGCATCAATTTGTTGTTGAACTTATTCATTCATTTGGTTGATTCTTTTTTTTTTTTAAATATATTTTATTGATTTTGTACAGAGAGGAAGGGAGAGAGATAGAAACAGTGACGAGAGAGAGTCATCGATTAGCTGCCTCTTGCACACCCCCTACTGGGGATATGCCTGCAACCAAGGTACATGCCCTTGACCGGCACCGAACCCGGGACCTTTCAGTCCCCAAGCCGACACTCCATCCATTGAGCCAAACCGGTTTCGGCCATTTGGTTGATTCTTATGTATAGCCTGACGAGGGATCAAACCCCAAACCTTGGTATATCGAGACAATGCTCTAACCAACTGTGTTACCCGAGCTTCAACTATTGACCTTTGACAGGTGTCTAACTTGACCATTGCTTATTTTCTTTTTAAAAACCAAAGAAAATGCTACTAAGCTTTTATTTCAAGACAAAGTTTTAAGTCTATTATTACAAAACATCTCTTTTCTTTTAAAAAGGCATTTCCCTCCGGAAGTTGCTTCCTCAGAGTGATATGTACAAATAATATTCCAAAATAAAATACTTACCACAAGTGAAATTCTGTCCATAGAATTCATTGACCACAAGAATCTCACAGCAGTATTTTTGGAATGTAAAATAAGTGAAGATTTTAAAAGGAATGGGCATTTCTTGTATGTTCCTTAAGAAAAAAAGAGAGGTGAATTCAGTAGGCTTTGGCAATAGTCCGGCCAAATGAAAGAAAGGCAACCCTTGTTTTATGTTTGCCAACACAAATACAGTTTTTCATCTCTCATTATAAAAACGGTGCTTACTATAAAAATGTCAAACAATACTGAGAGCATAAAGAAATACCACTGCCCAGAAATAACTACTGTTCACATTTTGGTGAAACATGTGACATGTGTATATGCATTTATAAGATTTTACATAAATGGAATTAAACTCTACATAAATGGAATCATGCCCTTTCCTAACCTGCTGTTTTTCAAGCAAACATGCCTCAAACATCCTTCCAAGTCAATAGGCATAGCATTCTAACATTTTAAGTCACAGC